ACAGACAGACAGACAGACAGACAGACAGACAGACAGACAGACAGACACAGAGACAGAAACAGAGACGAAAAGACGGGGAGGAGATTAAAGTGGCTCTGACAGTTTCCGCGTGCAACAAGAACGAGCTAGGTTCCAGCTTTCGTTAACAAAGCATGATGTCCTTTCTTTCTCCAGGCAAACTTACTCTCAGATCAGCTTGGCAGCACAATGCGGTCCTTTTGGCAGCAGCTGTGATGTCTACGACTCTGTAACTCATCTGTGTCTGTCTCTATGCAAGTAGCAAACTTGCGTCAGGCTTGTCTGTGCCAGCCTCAGTTTGGGTTGACGCCGCTGATAAGCAACGATACCACAGAATCACATTTAGGGAGATGCGCAAGAGTAAGTTGTAGCGTAATTGGCCGTTGTCACAGAAACAGCATCTCGAAAAAACTGTTGGACTCGACCATAAAAACATCCCGTACGCTCTTCTTGATCAGTGACAATTCCATTGTTGATGAGGTTTCGCAGGGCTGGGTTCTCCAGAGCTGCAGCCACACGTTCTTTGTCTGCCAGCCTTGGTGTCGCGCTCTTTGGTGGACAGAACAGCTGCCATAACCAAGCGCCTTCAAACACCAATTTGAAGGGTCCCTTTGCTGCATCACCTATTACCTATCATCCGGATCATAATATACATATCACAATTTATGAGTAATTATAATTATATACAACCTCAGCCATGTCAAAGGCTTGGTAGAAACCCTTTGCCTGGCTGGTTGGCAACAAGGAGATTGTGTTTACAGTGTTTTCGCAATTATGTAGTGCCCCGTGGCCCGCATTCAATTGGGCATCGAGGGTTCTTGAAGTGGCTCACAGAGCAAATTTGCAACTCTAATCAATTCGATTCAGATTGGATGCCAGATGATGCCAGTGAACTTGAGGTTCTACCAGCTGTCTCATGTTTTGTCTGTTTATCAGTCTTGGCATTGTCCAACTGATGCAAATTGTCAAGAACAACTTGACCACCTTCTTTGGATATCCATTTTATCATATCTTATCCCACCAGTTGCACGTAACCTGGACGGTGAGGTCTCGACTTGCACTTCAGTCGGATGCAGGACAGGCGAGGAAGGGCTGACGAGCGAAGATGATGTGATAACTGAAGCCCGAAACTGGCCACAGTCACAGGTTGCCTCGCCAGCCGCCCAGCTCGATTCACCCGGACGAAGATGGGGCGAAGGTGGAGCACGCCTTTGCGCAGATACTTTTCTGATCTTTTCTGGACTCTTCGTGAAAGAGCTTTCTCAAGCTCCTGCCAAAACCCCAAACCAGATTCTTCCAGGTGAGCCGAAAAAGCTGTCGGATTGTGAGCTCACTTGGCCTGAAAAGGTTCTGTAGTTTAGTCTAAAGATCCTAAACCGTGGCTACAAACAGGGAATGTAATTCAGGGTGAAACGAGTGTTTTGGATGTTCACCCACGCCCACATGCAGCCTTCGACTATGTGATCTGCTTAATGCGAGAACCCCATTCATTCAATGGCTTTCAAACGAGCGCTCAAATGAGCTCAAACATGTTTAAACATAGGATACACATAAATAATGCTGGCCATGGCGCTGTTTGTTGACCTGGCGAATGGTAAGCAATGAACATTGAGTGCCACCTTGAACTTGTTTTGAACAAACGCCACTACACCTGAAGAATCCCATCCACAATATGACTGATGATGAAATTAACCCAGCTGACAACCCGAATAGCAAAGCATCCGCCAAGATCTGGCACATTTCTTCTGCGCGCGTTGTTCATTGCGCTTTTTTTTCACATAGCGCATACCGAGGACAATTTTATAGTCAAACACACATCCGGACAAACAAGTTCAATATCCCAGCAACATGTGGGTTCCATAGAGCATGAAGCCCCTAAGGAATGTTTGCCGATGACCGCAGTGTATGTTCAAGCGTTCAAGTTTTTGCGCATGGTGTATGCGTTTGAAGAACCATTTCAATTCAGCACAGGAAAAGATTCGCGCAAGTTCTATTCGGACAAAAAATGACAAGGCCATAAGTCTATACTCTATACAAATGGCAAGAAAGTGCTATCACCAAATCAGAAGGAACATGTAGTGAAGGACGATCGCTTAAGTTCTACACGACAAGGTAAAATGAATGCAGTTGTCAGAAAACCCGTCCTTTAAGTTCTGGCACCAGGAAGATAAGCGTTTGGGCGCGCAAACGCAAAATTTATACAAAAACACTTTCTCAAGTCAGCAGAACAATGAACAAGTACAAAGCAGTGGACCATGGATGTACGTACAGGCGCCAACGCATGACTTATACACGAACGATGCAAGAAGCGCAGCGTCAGGCAAGCAGTCTCTTACACGTCGAAAGCAATTTTCCACCGACGCCACGATACATTGAAACGGAATCACAAAATTGAGACAACCAGTTGCAAAAACAGGTTCACCAGCCAAACGTGCAAGTTTCATGGAACACGTGGCACCTGAGGATTTTTTGCCGGTGGTCTGAATATGTCTGAATATATTTGCATATTTACGTTCAAAGGCAACCCACCATTCTTGCATCCAAGACACATTCTCACCCAAAGAAATCAAGTGTTAGCGGGAGACATTCAATAAGTCGCACGAAGCATGATAGGTGTTTATGGACGCACGCGATGTCCACGCAAGCCAAGAATGAGACGCTTCAACGGATATCACAGGGGGTCAATATCACAGGGGGCGGAGGATGCATTATTTTTGCGCGACAGGTCCAGGCGCAGTTCATGTACTTTTCAAAGGGAGCATAGTTTATATATGTTTAAATATGTGCACCGCGGAAGATACTCGTGGGAACACGAAAGCGCGTAGTTTTTACATAATCACGAATACCAATGTTTTCAAGAGGCAGCAAGAACACATCTGACTATGCGTTCATTGCTATATAGCTTTAGCTAGGGGGAAAAGTGCTGTTATATATATATATAAGCTGGTTATGACATATGGTATAAACCACCAAGTAGAACAGAAGAAAAGATAGTGAACAGTTTTCGAAAATGCAAATTCTGCATCGTGAGATGTGTCTGGGCGGGGAGCGATGTTTGCAAACAGTTTGTACGAGGGTCAAAAGTGGAGTAATTACAAACACTTCTCTATATATTATTCATCCACTTCATGCTGCATTCGTCTTTGAGTTTTGCGTCGATCATGCACAGTGTGCAGTTTAGCCCTTGGAATTGTACGTTTTTCAAGGTGTCCAAATCAAATTGTATTGATTTGCTAGCATTGTTCGATATAACTTGGACCCCCTGAAAGGGGGTCGAACGTATATCTCCAACGATGCTGGCAAAATGAAGTAAGACCTAACTAAGCCAGTTTAAAGGGAGTCCAAAAATAGAGTGATTGTAGATACTTCTATAGTTCGCTTATCCACTTCAGGCTGTGTTCATCTCTAAGTCTTATCTCGATCATGAACACTGCGTAGTTTATTGTGCATAGCCACTCTATTTTTCAACCCCCGTGAAAAACCACAATTTCGAGGGAGTCGAAAAATAGACACAACAATGCTGGCAAAATGCAAGTAAGACCTAGCAGCTAAACAATGTATCAAAGGGTCCAAAAATAGAGCGAGTCTCGATACGTCTTTTGGCCTCCCTTTGAGAGCCACTGGCGCGGGCAGTTGGCATCTGATGAGAAAACCAAACCAAATCCCAGCGCACAATCCCAAAACACTAGTACAAAACAAATTCAGAACATGTCTGAATATGAACAATTGTCACTTTGCCTAGCGCACAGCTCTGCGATACGACTTTCAAGAGGATGATACGACTTTAAAACAAGGTTTCACGTCCGTACGGGCCCTGCGTCTTCGTGTGGGCAGGCCCATACGAAATGGCGTTTCGAGCGTTTCAAAAGTCGAAAAAAAAGTTGTAGCGGCCTTTTTCAGCAAGCAAGCCTATGGAACCTGCTCGAACATTCCGAAGCAAGCCTATCTCAGCACATAAAAAAAGTTTTTTACTTTTACACCGAGAATCGGGTCCTCCCGCGAACCAGCGGCCCGAGATGGTGTCTGCGGCGCGCTCTTGTCTGACATCCGGCTGCCAAACTCAAAAAAACAACGCCCGACGAACACGCGACTCGACGAAACCACGAACTGACGAAAACACGAAATGACCCTTGGAACCCTGTCTGCTTCAAAAACGTGCAAATTCACGGGGTCCCGTACGGACGTGACACCAAAAACAATGCACGTGCGTGTCCAAATGAGCAGCTTCGAAAACCCTATTACTTTTTTGTATAGTCCAGGTTTGCTTTCGCAGAGCTTTCGCGGAGCTTTCGCGGTCTGCATTCTGGCTTTCGCGGAAGGTGTGGTGTTATGTGGGGCTTTCGCGGCGATTCGTTTTCGATTGGGAAATTCGATTGGGATATTGTACAATAAAGTGATTGATCTATAAAATATATAAGTTATCCGATATAAGTGTCCTTATAGGGTGGTCAAAATTAAACAAATTTTTTTCCGGCAACATCCTGGCACAAGGAGTTGTAGCAGCACCGTTCAAGTATTATTGTTGTCATCAGAAGAGGAGGAAAACTTGCTGAAACTTTTTGCTGGGGCCAGATACCTTTCCCGGATATTTTCGACTTTCGCGGTTCTTTCGCGAGGCTTTCGCGCGGCTTTCGCGGAAATTCAACTGGGTTTTTTCGATTTTCCCCTGAAACACTTGCTCTTCAGTGCTGCTGCTGCTGCTGGCTGGTCTGCTGCGGCTGCCTGCATTTATAAAGATATGGTCACCCACATAAACAACACGACATGCACAAGAAATTCGACTTTCGCGAAAGCTTTCGCGACGCTGTTCTTCTGGGGTTCTTTCGCGGGGCTTTCGCGAACCTTCCGCGACCTGCGTTTTGGCTTTCGCGAAAGAATGTGAGATTACAGTTTGCATACTTTTCATCATAGAGGTTTTTGAAGCTGCTCAAATGTGTATCTTCCTTGGTGCCAGAACTTAAACTATGGTCTGTTTGACAACTGCGCTCGCTGTACCTTCACTGCGTCTCCTTCAATGTACCTTTGGTCACAACATCTTTTTATCATCCGTATACTTTCATTCTTTGTCGACTCAGAAGAGCTGCGGCGAAAACCTATTGGAAGTGGCTTTGTAATTCTAGCATCCTTTCGCGACAGGCTATCGCGGTCCTTTCGCGACCACAGTTTTGCATTTCGCGGGCATACACTATTTGCTCAGTCCTTTCGCAGGACCTTTCGCGAGAGAAGTTAAAAGAACACACTATATCACACTATAACTTTACTTCGAGTGATCCCCACCATGACATTTCAATGTTGTGTGGTTGTGTGCTTTGCGTTGAGGTTCGGTAGTGCCCACTGCGATCTGGCACTTGCGGTTGAGGTCCGGTAGCGCCCACTGCGATCAGGCACTTGCAGGAGGGGAAGGAGGAGGAAGAGGAGAAGAGCCTCCTTCTGAGAAGAGCTCAGATAAAATCCAACAACCCTCACCTCGCAGGTGGGGAACAACATGCGCAAACCTCTACATATACGCCGGAGTCCTGCCGTGATGATCCACCCATTGCTATTTCAATGGAT